GTAACCTTACCTTCGTAAAATACTAAGATGATCACTAACGACTATGTCTAAAGTTGGTGAAACGCAATGCTTTTGCATTATAAAGCATACGTCCTGGGTTACTAACAAGCGTTCTTTGTAAATCAAAGAATAAAAGCACAAAATTAACCCTGATTTCTTTAAAGCTTAGCTGCATGTATCCTGACTTGCTGTTTGAGGGCATTTCGTTATGTCCGACAACTCTACTAGCTCGCTTTGAGCAGCCGTAGTTGGACCCCTTCAATATAACGCTGAGCATGATAAGTAAGGCCTTAATTGAAGTTAATTTAGGCAAGCATGATATACATAATAAGGTGATAGTAAGCGGATTGGCGGGTATTCATAAAAGGTAAGGAAGCGGCTGCAGAACTATTTTAGCGAGTGTAAGCTGAACAAGTCTATACGTCAAGACGAAGCACTATTGTATCATGCAGCTTCGTTGGCAGTCACAGAGGCCAATGATGGAGTTAATGTAGTGCAGCACAGTGACCCCATTAATGAGTTTTAGGCCTTCTTTACCTACTCGGACCATGAGTTGAGTGCGTAGACTCAGATGAATTAAGTCGTGCAAATGATGAGATCCACTGCACACTATTATAAGTTGTGCTGATTGCAGACAATATTTTGCCCATGAAATCACCTTTGCATATTTGCACCAGCAATGCTGAATATTATGCTGCAAAAAAATAGCGTCCATCTTATTTATATAAGTGAGGCTAAATAATAAACTTATCAAAGATTTTTGCAGAAATAAGCCATGTGTATGTATAAACCGGGTAAATCTGTTCCTAATTTGATTCATGAATACAACTTTTGTGCTTTGATTTACAAAGGGAGACCTATAAGTTTTGAGGCCGTAAAGCCTCTATGGCACAAGCACTCTGAACTAACAATCTTGTTAAATGTCATTAGTGATCACCTCACCATTTTGGAAATTCATGAATTGGATAATGATCTTCTAGTTAGAACGTTGGACATTATTATTAATTGACAAATACCAATCATGCACCCTAATTTACGAGGTAGAAAGCAGACTTGATTAAACGTGTCTGTCGTCATTTATCGTTTTAACAGAGTCAGTGGC